TTTGAGCTAGGGTCTCACTCTGTCACCCAGGCTGAAGTGCAGTGGTATGATCTCGGCTCACTGCAACCTCTGCCTCCCAGGCCTGGTCCATCCTCCCACCTCAGCCTCCCAAGTAGCTAGGACTATAGGCATGTGCCACTATGCCCTGCCAACTTTTTGTATTTTTAGTAGAGATAGGGTCTTGCTATGTTGCCCAGGCTGGTCGTGAACTCCTGGGCTCAAGTGATCCTCCTGTCTTGGCCTCCCAAAGTGCTGGGATTACAGGCATGCCCCACTGTGCCCAGCTGATTTTGTTACTTTTAAATTTTATTTATTTTTAAGAGAGTTTTACTCTGTTGCCCAGACTGGAGTGCAGTGGTGCAATTATTTCTTATTGCAGCCTCAAACTCCTGTAGGAGCTTTGAGCTCTTCCTGCCTTGGCCTTTTAAGTAGCTAGGACTGTAGGCATGTACCACCATGCCTGGCCAATTCTAAAATTTTCTATAGAGACAGGGTCTCGCTATGTTGTTTAGCTGGTCTTGAACTCCTGGGCTCAAGAGATCCTCCTGCCTCAGCCTCCTGAGTAGCTGGGACACAGTGTCGCAATCTCAGCTGATTGCAGCCTCTGCCTCCTGGGTTTAAGCAATTCCTCCGCCTCAGCTTCCTGAGTAGCTGGGATTACAGGTGTAAGCTGCCACACCTAGCTAATTTTTATATTTTTAGTAGCAATGGGGTTTCACCATGTTGGCCAGGCTGGCCTCGAACTTCTTGCCTCAAGTGATCCACCTTCCAAAGTGCAGGGATTACAGGTGTGAGCCACCATGTCTGACCTAATTTTAAAATTTTCTGTAGAGACAGGTTCTTGCTATGTTTTTCAGCTGGTTTCGAACTCCTGGGCTCAAGAGATCCCTTCCTGCCTCAGCTTCCTGAGTAGCTGGGATTACAGTCCAGTGCCACTGTGCTTGGCTAAGCAAATGATTTTTAAATTTTTACTTTTTGAGATGGAGTCTTGTTCTGTTGCCCAGGCTGGAGTGCAGTGGCTCACTGCAACCTCTGTTTTGGCTTGATTTTGGCTCACTGTAACCTCTCTCTCCTGGGTTCAAGTGATTCTCCTGCATCAGCCTCTCTGAATAGCTGAGATTACACCCACCACCATGCCCAACTAATTTTTGTATTTTTAGTAGAGACGGGATTTTGCCATGTTGGTCAGGCTGGTCTCGAACTCCTGACCTCAGGTGATCTGCCCGCCTTGGCCTCCCCAAATTCTGGATTACAGGCATGAGCCACCACGCCCAGCCAGCAAATGATTTTAAAAAGTAACCTAGGTGGGCAGATCACCTGAGGTCTGGAGTTCGAGACCAGCCTGGCCAGTAGTGGTGAATCCCTGTCTCTACTAAAAATACAAAAAAAATTCGTTGGGCATGGTGGTGGGAGCTTGTAGTCCCAGCTACTTGGGGAGGCTGAGGCAGGAGAATTGCTTGAACCCGGGAGGCAGAGGTTACAGTGAGCCAAGATCACACCACTGCACTCCAGCCTGGGCGACAAAGGGAGATTCCGTCTTGAAAAACAAAACAAAACAAAACAAAAAACCAGACCAGAAAACAAAATGTTAAAGATCTGGTCTGCTCCAAGAGGTGAGGGTCTGTATCAGCACAGCCCACCCCCACCTGACTGATCTAGAGGGTGACCTTTCTCCTGCATGCAAAGGGCAGAAAAGTGTGGTGAAGGTGGACAGAACACAGAAACCAGAGCGCCTGGTGTGTCTGAGCTGGCATAATGGCTGGAGCTGGTGGGAGGGGATGTGGGGGAGGTGGGTCCTTCAGGTCCCTGAAGGCCAGTCATCAGGGCTTGGAATTTTAAACTGAGGAATGAGGAGGCTGTGGAGGGTTTTAAGTGGAAGGAGTAATTGAAATTGAGGGACGTTAGACAGAACTGGTCTGGACTCTTAAAAAAAATGTCAATGGTATGCAAGGCAGAGGAAGGCTGAGAACTGTTGCTGATTAAAAGAGACTGAAAAAATGCTACTGCTAAAGGCAATATATGGCTCTCAATTGGACCTTGGGATTGGGGAAGAAATTGCTCCAAAGAATATCATCCGGGCAATTGGCAAAACTGGGATATGAACTGTAGATGAGCTGATAGTATCAGAACATTGTTAGGTTTATGAAGTGGATAACTGTGGTTCTGTAAGAAAATGTCCTTGTTCTTAGGAAACAAGAATACTAAATGTTTAGGGACAAAAGGACATAACAGTCCACAACTTGTCCCCGGAATGGAAAATATACTATGATTTATATATAGAGAGATAGATTTTGGGAAAAAAAGTCTGTAATTTACAGATAGGTAGATACAGGTACATGGGAGACGATGATACACATCAAGTATTACATCAGAAAAGACAGTGAGGCTGGGCGAGGGGCTCATGCCTGTAATCTTAGCATTTTGGGAGGCCAAGGTGGGCGGATCACCTGAGGTCAGGAGTTCGAGACCAGCCTGGCCAACATGGCAAAACCCCGTCTCTACTAAAAATACAAAAATTAGCTGAGTGTGGCAATGGGTGCCTGTCATCCCAGCTACTTGGGAGGCAGAGGCAGGAGAATTGCTTGAACCCAGGAGGTGGAGGTTGCAGTGAGCTGAGATCATGCCA